TTTTGGATCCACTATTGTGTGACTTTGCTATTGCCTAAGTATGTGGGTGCATAGCAACCCACTCATGTCGCATGCAGGTGTGACTTTTATTTCGCCACCAGTTGTAACCCCGCCCCCAGTAGCCAAATCAGTCAGTTTCACTGGCTACATCACCATGCTGTGGGTAAGACCGCTTGAAATGTGCTTGGATCCATTCAAAAACTGGATCCAAGTGGATCCAGTTTTTGAATTTTTGAAATTGTTGCTATGCTGTGACGTAGCACTTTCAAGCCCTATTGTAATTGTGTCTAAACATTTTTTGGTTTTTTCGCAGTAACGTATGTGGTGCTTCCACGAAAATAGGCAATGCCACATAACACCCATTGACACTTGCTTGTGGCCTGGTTGGGTTTTCTATCTCTCTGTCTATATCCTTTCTAAGTCATCCTGTTCACCTTCTCTCTGCTGCTTTATCTACAGGAAAGGGTCTGTCACTGGTCAGCTCTGTCATTGAGGGCAACTTTGTGGAGAGCTATGGTGAAGTCACCGCTGCGAAACTGGTTAGGCTAAATGTTTGCCTGTGTTACATGTATGATCTCAAGTGGTATATGTGTGACCTCAGTTCACTTTTGGAAGTTTAGGCCTGGAGGGAATTGGATGACGTGTAACTGTAGCTCGAAGTTGTGCGATCTTGAGCTTGACAGTTTTGTACAGCATGTGTCTCAAAAACTCTTCATTGAACGGACTCGCGTGAGTGTCAGACAAGAAACGCTGTTTGAGTCTCTTTTTTTGGCTTTGTTCATTTTGTGTGACGTGTGCAGTCATTGAAGCGTGCAATCCGCGAGGAGAAGATGAAGGCGTTCAGTCAGGTGATTTCCTCTCCTGACATCACGCAGGGCCTATCCTATCTAGTCCAGAACAGTGGCCTGGGTGGTATGACTCACAACACTGTGATGCTCTCATGGCCAAACTCGTGGAAGACCAAGGGCACCTGGAAGATGTTTGTCCGTGAGTTGGCCTTGCTGTTCCATCTGCTCCCATTGCCGTTGTACTAGTGTCTTTTCTTTTCTTTCTTTTTTTTCTTCTTTTTTCACTGTAGCTGGCTCTCGCCTTACTCTGCTTTGGTCACCTGTAGGCTGTAGTAGTTCTATTTTCTGCTACCATGAGCTGCTTCTTTCTTTCTCTCGTATCATCTACCAGAAGTAGTCGCTGATGAATTCTGGAGAAAAACGTTTCTGTCAAAACGAACCGGTGTCCGTTGGTTGTGGTTATTTGTGTTTCTATAACAACTGTAGCTGATATCGTTGTTTCTCCTCCACTGATCAGGCTTTGTGCTGGCTGCTGTCTGTGCTTGTCCACTGCTCTGTATGTGCGCGCAGAAATCATCCGTGTCGTGTCGGCAGCTCACCACGCCATGCTGGTGATGAAGGGACACGATCACTTCCCCAGCAATGTTGACCGCGTCACCGGCCACATTGACATCTGGTGGGTGGTGCACGACGGCGGGCTGCTCATGCTGCTGCCATTCCTGCTGCGCCAGCACAAGGTCTGGCGAGCCTGCAAGCTACGCATCTTCACCGTCGCACAGATGGAGGACAACAGTCTTCAGATGCGGCGTGACCTGGAGAGCTTCCTCTATCAATTGAGAATCGAAGCTGAGGTTGAAGTTGTTGAGATGGTGAGTGTACACGCCGTAATACGTTCTACCTCTGCCCAACTCCCACCAGATGTAGGAAGATAGACAGGTTGCCAAAGTTGCCATTTCCAGAGCAAAGTGCCGAGTGTTGCTCCGAAATCTATCCAAGGATGTGGGAGTGTGTGTTTCTTTACGAGTGTCTTCACATGCGTGCTCCGTGTTTTGTCCGCGTGTGCGTGTATGTTTGTGTGTATGTGGTTTTTAAAATATTTCAGTTGGACAGTGATATCACTGCCTACACGTACGAGCGGACATTAGTGATGGAAGAGCGACAGCGCATGGTCAAAGACCTCAATCTGTCCAGGAAAGAGCAGAAGCGTGATGTAAGTATTTGTCTATTTACATGTACATGTATTTTCTTCGACAAATTCCTCAGCACTTGAGTAAAAGCCCGTCTCGTTTGTAGAAGCCTGGTTTTCGAAGTAGACCATCGGCACATAAACCTGGATTCTATTGTTTATGTACGTGTGCGAGCGGGTACTGCAAAACAGGTAGCTGTGGCATTTTTCTCGAAAAACTGGTTTTGGCTAGCTCAGGGTGTCAAATCCCACATGCCAATGCAGCACAAAGTATGCAAAATGGCCAAAAGTGCTAACAAGTTGGTAAAAACTGGGCGAAAAGAGGGTTTTCCCTTCTGATTCTATACAAAAAGTAGATGTTTGATGGTGTGTTTCTCTCTTTTCTGTGCTCTCACTGTCTCCTATGTATTGATTTCTCTCACCTCCCACTCCTTCAATCACTGCTGGTGTTTGGCTGCCCGTAGGTGAATCACATTGTCGACTCCGCTCATGGTCGTGGTGCATCCCATGAGCCCGGTCCTGCGTTGGACCCGGCCACACGACAGCCCAGCAGTGGCCAGCTCTCCTTGCCGTCGTTCCAGTCGCGCCCCGACTCATTGCAAATGCCTGCGCCGTAAGTCCAGCTGTGCTGTGTGAACACTGTCGGAACCAATACGGTGGTATAAGTAGTCTGTTGCTAGTAGTCACACAAGTGTCCGTTATACTTTATACATGACAACTGCACCAACAGCAACGGCAGAACAGCAAAGTCACATTCTTTGTTGTTTAGTATGCAGACCCTTCAGATGGAAACTGTTTGTATGTTTGTTTGATGCATGGTCGTAGTGGTGGTGGTGGTGGTACTGGTGGTACTGGTGGTGGCGATGCCACGAATGTGTTCATTCTACATGGAATGCATGGAATGTTGCATTGTCCCCTAACAGCAGCCTCACTTGAGACATTGACCTGAAAAGGGGTCTACAGGCAATAGACCTCAACTTAATGAAATTTCTACTCGAGCGATTGCCTTGCTCTTTAACTGTTAGTATTGCACTGCACTCATTTAGCACTGCCTCACTCTGTGTATGCGTGTGTGTATGTGGACAGGGGTCTGGACAATGTCCGTCGCATGAACACTGCCGTCAAGCTGAATGAGATTGTCGTCCATCGCTCGCACAAAGCTCAGCTGGTTGTTGTCAACTTGCCAGGACCTCCCAAAGCTGGAACCGGTGGTGAAGAGAGCTGTATCCTTCTCTGACTTGTCTACATGCACTGCCTTTTGACTAGCACGTAGATACATTTGAGTTTAAGTTAGAGACATGTATTCTGCAGGGCCTTTTTCTTGGGGTTGCGGATTCATGTCAATGTGAATCTTTTATAGTGGCATGGTTGAGCTGCAAAGTCCGCTTTTGAGCCTGCGATGGCATAGGAATGTGTTGTAAAAAAATACAAGTAAATCAATATGAAATTCCAACTATAGCTACACTGCTACTCAATAATGTCTCTGCTCGTGAGCAACGTAACATTTGCACTTGGCAGCAGTGCACAGCCCAGTGCTCACAGGTCTGGGCTGTTGCAGTGCTCACAGGTCTGGGCTGTTGCAGTGCTCACAGGTCTGGGCTGTTGCAGTGCTCACAGGTCTGGGCTGTTGCAGTGCTCGACGCTACCTGCTTCATGTTACAGGATTCACTTGCGTGGCACTGTACTCCGTAGTCATCGAGATATTTGTTTTGTTAGCGTGTAGTTTTAAAACAACTTGCAAGACGTCTGTGTCGCGTCCATATACGTGCAGTATGTCCTTACCTTTCTATTGTGTAATTTCCTTGACTCTTGCACCCCCTCAGACATGGAGTTTGTAGAGGTGATGACAGAAGGACTAGAGCGTGTGCTTCTGGTTCGCGGCGGCGGTCGTGAGGTCATCACTGTGTTCTCGTGAGTAGTGACACAATGTAGGCAAGTAGACAACGGGTGATCTCGCACTGTGCAATAGTGCTCTCCTTTGTATCCTGTGCACGAGATGCTGCTCTCAGCGGTCTCTCTTTTGCCAACAACTCGATATCCCACGCTGGCAGGCCACTGCGTGTGCTGCACCTCACACTGCAGTTTTCACGACCACTCTCCAATAGAGCTGGTCCATATTATAGCGTCCGGCACGTGAAGTACACAACCTCGCGCTGGCAAACTCGAGCAGCACTGGTGCAGAGATACTATAACGTCTTGGCGTTGCATGTATGAGACATGCGTTAGAATGAAAAGCGGCTGTTTCTATTCCATTTGCATATTCAATTACATGCTCATGCAGTTAGCTATTCGTTTTTAATTCCCAACATTCTACCATTTTCTGATTTCTTATTTACAACAGAGAAATAATGTTCACCTATCAATGTTGTGTGCTTACTCACACACGTATTGAATTATTTCCGAATTTTTTTGCGTGCTTATCCTTTTCTTACTCTTCTCCTTGACAAAGAACACTGGAGTCCTGTCTACTTTCCCTATCCTTTCCCCTGTTGTAGTTTTTTTTGCTATCCCGCCATCCCGTGCATTCTCATGATCTTTCCTTTGTCCCAGGATTGTAGGATGCTGGGCTCATCAAACCCACATGAAATTAGACATACAGATTACAGAGAACAAAAATTGTAGCTGCTTATTGTGCTATTTCTCTCTGCTTATTGTGCTATTTCTCTCTGCATTTAGAGCAAAGCATACACAAACACACATACTATCCTAGTGCCGGCCGGTTGCTGTTTTTTTCTGTTTGTATTTCTAAGTTACTGATATTAGTAATGTCTGTGCGCCCGTCTACAGTACATACTCACATACAGGTAGCTGTTTTGGTCATTTCTCATTCTGAATTGACGTATCCCATCTTTTTCAGCAGCCATTATAATTATGTCATTATGTTTTGCAACCACTGCTGGCAATTGGATTGCGACTTTGGTCCTGCGTTCCAGATAGAGGACAGTCACAGTGGACTTGGCGGTGGCTTGTTGGTATTAATTGAGTGCGGAGGCCATGATTGCATGAGTGTGTCAAGTCCTACCGGTCTAGCCACCACTGTTGTGTTAGTACTCCTTATTCTCATGATGGTCTGCGGCGACTGAGTACGAGTGTGGCCTGCGTGAAGAGCTGGGGAGATGTGTGTGTGTGTGTGTGTGTGTGCACGCGTGCATGTGCGCGCATGTATCTGTGTGATGTGGGGCGAAAAAGAAATGTGCTGACGCTGTAGTTGGATTGTTGAAGGGAATACTGTAAAAGAAACTAAGTTACTTTGTTGTGCTCTCGCACATGTTCACAACTACTTGTACTGTAGACTAGTCCAGTATGACTATGAATGTCAACATATAAACCGCTGGAGCCTTGGAGGTAGGTATCTTACCCTAATCATAATGACATTGTACTTTTGTAGGTGTTGATGGAAACCAGGGAGTAGTACAATATAGATTGTACTACTCCCTGATTGAAACCAGGGAGTATTACACCTGGTTGATACAATCATAATTATAAACATGAACCGTCTAAGTCATGTTATGTGTCAGTTACGCGGGGAGCTCCCCGGAGGTGAATGGCACTGATATGAATGCACTCTTGACAGTACAGATGAATCATTGAAAATCATGCAGCTAGCTAGCTACATAATAATCATGTAGTACATGTGTGGCTGGAAATGGCGCCAAATTTTTCAATTTTGTGACGCCCGGCCGGCGCGGCGTTGCAAGGAGATTTGATTTTGATTTTCTCTGCAGGAGTTTTTGTGGCATGACGGAGAGAAAATTGTTTCTCAATATTCATTGTAGAACGACTCTTCCCCGACCGATGTCTCGCTTCATGACACGGTCTCGATGTTGGAATCATTAGTTATGTGTAGTAGTGGACCATGATATTGCGCCATGGATTCGGACTCGGAGAGAAGCAGAAAGTTGGAACTCGGTAAACAGAGACTAGAGAAATTTAGAGAGAAGCGTGACAAGAAAAAGAAGAAGAGGCCTGCCACGGCGTCTGCGGGTGCGAGCGGTAGTGAAGCAGCAACAGCCAGTGATGTTAGCAGCGAGGCATCGCATCATCAATCTACGGACAGCGGCAGCGTAGCGACTGCACAGGCGAGGGTCGGGCATGGTGAGCCTGAGCTGAGTCAGTCCGCTGTTGACAGTGTGACCCATAATGCTAGTCAGGATGGTGAAGTGGACAATATCTTGTCCGCGGCTAGTGGAGGCGTGAAGAACACTGAAAGCCATGATCTGAGTGCATCTGGATCGGGTGATCTTGGCAACAGTCAGCTGAATACGTCACACAGCATCTCACCCATTCCAGCCGACAGCGAGATCCTGAATTTCGGTGAGGAGAACGTCGAGGAGATGGGAGCGGGCGCTGGCAGTGGGTGTGAAGATGGTGACCTCCTGTCCAGAGCCAGTGATATACTGGCCAAGCAGAGTATTGACAGTTCTCGCTCATCTAGCTATGCTGACTTTGCCACTGCCGGTCATGTCCAGTACACTGATAGTGATGCTAGTAGCCATGCTGCTGCCGTTGCATCACACCAACCTGGCTCTGGGCCAGATGTACAGGCAGAGTTAGCTGATGTCACACTAAAGCTTCAGATTGCCGGCGAAGAGTGCGAGCGGCTACGCGAGGAATGCATGCGGGCAAGACTGAGCCAGCAGACCGACAGCGAGGCACATCAGGCTGAATTGGATGCCTTGCACCAGGTAATAATCCGCTGTACCCATACACATTGCCGGTGTGTGTGTTTGGGGGGGGGGGCACACGCGCAGGCAGTCACCTGGTGCAAGCCATGCTCTGTTTCATTCGGGTCTTGTCCGCTATCGTTGCTGTAAGAGAAGAACCGTGGGTGTACATCCCGTGGACTTGCGGAGTTGCATGCTTCTCTTGCAACATGTGTGTACATGATCCATGGTACATACTGTGTACATGATCCATGGTACATACTGTGTACATGATCCATGGTACATACTGCGTACGTGATCCATGGTACATACTGTGTACATGATCCATGGTACATACTGTGTACATGATCCATGGTACATACTGCGTACATGATCCATGGTACATACTGCGTACATGATCCATGGTACATACTGCGTACATGATCCATGGTACATACTGTGTACGCATGTTGTTCATGTGATACTCACTATTGTGGACGTTGCGTGTTGAGGATAGGGCTTGTCAGCAGTGCACTCTGATGTGCTCATTGAAGCTTTTCAGGGCGTGTGCTTGGAAATCGAATCTAGAAAGGATGTGCAGTTGGATTTCTTGTTTTCTTGTGATACAGTAAAACCTGTAACTAAAGAGCACCGTGGCTAGCGACCAGCCTGGTTCTACAGACCTCTTCGCCAGGCACGGACTGTCTCACATTCCTATTATGGTTGTGCGGTGCAAACCTCTAACTAAGGACCACCTGCCACTAAAGACCGCTTTCTCTGGCCCCAAAGGGGTGGTTGTTAATTACAGGTTTTACTCTACATGTATTTGCCCATGTCGATTGTTTCTGCTGTCCTGTGTTGTCCTGTGTTGTCCTGTGTTGTCCTGTGCTGTCCTATGTTGTCCTGTGTTGTCCTGTGTTGTCCTGTGCTGTCCTGTGTTGTCCTGTGTTGTCCTGTGCTGTCCTGTGTTGTCCTGTGTTGTCCTGTGCTGTCCTGTGTTGTCCTGTGTTGTCCTGTGCTGTCCTGTGTTGTCCTGTGTTGTCCTGTGCTGTGGCTGCTGAACAGACCCATCAAACTGAGCTACACAACGCCGTCCACGCGGCTGTCGCAGAGTCGGCAGAGGCGGCCAAAGAAGAACTGAGCCAGCTCCGGGGACAATGGCAAGCGGAGAGAGACGAGTTTGCTACTCAAATCAAGCAATTACATAGTAGCAACGCTGCGGCCAGTGAAGACCGAGACGAATTCGTGAGTGAAAAGTCTAGACTAGCGGCGGCGGCTCTTGCTGCCGAGCAGGAGCGAGACCAACTGCAGGCTTCCCTGGACGCCCTCAAAGCAGAGTCGCTCAGAGTAGCCATCGACGTGGAGACCAGAATTACTTCTCTACACAGCGATAGCGAGCAGCGACAGTCAAGCCTGGAGAGTGAACTGCACCATGCCAAGGAACAGCTGGTGGTTCTAAGCAGAGACAATACTCAACTGGAAGAGACGATGACCAGTTTGAAACAGGCAAAGGAGTCAAGCCAAGCAAGCCGCGACTCGGCACGCCACGAGTTACTCTTTGTCAAGGAGCAGAATACACGGCTTGCAGCGCAGGTCCAACAGCTCGAGGAAGCTGCTGAGTCGGCGCAAACTGCGAAAGAGAGTGAAGCCTCCCGTGAGTATGAGTCACAGCTGGGTCGCCTGCAGCAGAGCATTGCATCTTTGGAGGCTGGACACAACGACCAGCTGGCAGATCTTCAGCGGCAGCTGGACAGTGCTCGGCAGCAGGAGAGGAGCAGTGCAGAGGAGAATGCGCGTCAGCTGAGTGCCGTTCACAGTGACCGAGATGCCGTAGAGCTGCAGCGCAATGCACTGCAGCAGGAGAGAGACCAGCTGCACGGCACGGTCTCTAGCCTGCAGGAGCTGATTGACCATGCCAAGTCCCAGGAGACCGTTCATGATCAGCGCGTGGCGGCTTTGTCTGGCGAAAACGAGAGCCTTGCGGCACAAGTGGATGAATTGAAGGAGCAATGTCGCGCAGCTGCGCTCTCAGAGCAATCCGCTTCTCAGCGCCACGCATCTGTTCTCGCTGAAAATGAGAGCCTAGAAGCTGTAGTCGCTCAGCTTCGCGAGGAATCTAGTGAGTGGCAGACTCTACGGCAGCAATCCAAGGCCTCGCAGGATCAACTACAGCAAGTCCTGGAGGAAAAGAAACAGCTTCTGGATGAGCTTTCCACCAAGATGCTTTCCAGCTCCAGGAATGACACGGAGGTGCAGCACCTCATGGAGAGAAATGCCGAGCTTGATAAAGAGAATGATACTCTCCACCAGTCCATTGCGACGTCCGAGGAAGCATCGCGTGAACTGCAACGCACCTGCACGCAACAAGTCCTGGCTGCTGAAGATAGCAAGCAGCAGATGGAGCAGAGCATTGAGCAGCTAACATCGCAGCTGTCTCAGGCTAATGGTGACAAGACGAGTTTGAGCACGGAACTGGCTGCAGTGAAGGATGCTTGCCAGCAGCAAGAAGCTATTGTGACCGAGCTTCAGCAGAAACATGCTCACAGCGAGTCGCAACTGACCATCCAGCAACAGGCACTGCAGCAGCTGGAGCAGGACTGCTCACAGGCAAGTGCAGCGTTACGCCAAGCAAAGCAGCAGGAGGCTGCGCTCAGCAATGAGCTCGGTAGCGTCCGGTCGCAACTGACTGCACTGACCGATGAGCATCGGTTGGAGCTGAGTCGTCTTGAAGCGCAGGAAGAGAGCGCGCTGGCATCGCTCACTGCGTCGCACGAGCAAACCCTTCAGCGGTGCGTTGCAGAACGGGACAGTGAGCATGCCACGGAATTGGAACATGTCCAGCAAGCGCATGACCAAGCAATGGCCACTTTCCGTCAACAAGCCGAGTTCGACTTGAACAATGCAAGATCTACATTGGGTAATCAGCTACAGGCTGTTGATAATCAGCACCAGGACACTCTGCAGGCAGAACGGGATCGTGTGCAGGAACTATCAGAACAGCTGGCCAGTCTCGAGAGCTCACTGGACGCTAAGACACGTGCAATTGCGGCCGTGAGCCGTGAGATGGGCCTGGATGACGGTGCTGAGTCGACGACAACGGAGGAACAGACGTCGGTGCTCGCCGCACGTGTCAAACACGCCAACGAAACGGCGTCCGGAATGCGAGCCGCCCTGTCCAGCATCATGCAGCAGATCAGCGGAAGCACTGTGGCCGCTGATCAGCTGGAAGATCATGCCGCATGCTTTGACCTAGCGCAGCAGGAGCTGCATCGACGCGCCGAGGCACACCGTGCCACCGAGCAACATCTCCAACAGGAGCTGCAGCGTGCCCTCGAGCAAGGTGAGGCCGTGCAGACAGCAACCGAACAGCAGCACCGTACTGCCCTCGCGCAAGTCACGCATCAGATGCACGAGCTGCAGGCGAGGCTCAACAACGAGCAGGGCGTCGTCAGCATACTGCAGGATCAGGAGATGGCTGAGGTGGAGCGCGTGCGACGCGAGTGCGATGAGTCCTTGCAGCTGGCACTGGCCGACCATCGCCAGGAGATGGCCAGCCTTACAGAGCAGCATGCCGACCGGCTGAGTACGCTGCAAGATGACCAGCGCCGTGCCTTATCACAACTACACACCGAGCACAAGGACATGGTTCAACAACTGGAAGCATCCCACGCTGAACGCACCGCAGAGCTCCAAGCAAGGCACACGCAGCAAGTAACTGCTGCTGAAGACGCTCTACGGGTAGCACAGGAGGAAAACGGGCAGCTCCGAAACGACTGGCGTAAACTCGAACAGGACCACGAAGCACACAAGAAGACTCTAGCTGAGCAGCACGATAGCGAGCTGAGAGAATTGCAAAGCGGTTTTGAAGCCGAGCGCCAGACTCTACAACAGACTACAGACAACACCCTGGCTGCTCTTCGTGCTGACCTGGAACAGCAGCATGCTGTGGCAGTGAGTACTTTAGAGGAGGATCTTTCCAGGGAACATGCAGCCAATCTGGCGAAGAACAATCAGGAGCTGCAGGAGGAATATGCCCGCGAGCTGCATGCCCTCAAGCAGCGATCGACCGACGAGCTAGAGGCCACCAGAACCGAACTGCTAGCCGCTGTTAGTCAGAAGGAGCTGCTTTATAGCAAGGAGATCGAGGAGCTGACGCGAGAACTGGATGCGCAGCATGAAAACCATGATGCATCCGCCCTGTTGGATGACCAGCGTGCACTGCTGGAGACGGAGAAAGAGCTCGCGCTGCAGCAGCGTGCCATGTTGCAAGTCAAGGCACAGAATCAGCAAGACATGTCGAGGTTGGCTGAGCAACACGGTGCAGAGCTTGACGAGGCACGCTCTTCCTTCCATGGCGAGCAGCAACGTCTGGAGCAGACCATAAACAATCTAGATACGGCCCTGAAAGAGCAACAGGCTGTATGCAAGCAGCTTGAGCACTCTCTACAAGTGTCGGAGCTAGCACTTGAAGGCAAGAACTCTGAGCTGACATCTCTTACGTCTACGGTGGAACAGTTACAGAAAAGCTTTGATCATGAAGTGAGTGCACGTCATGACGACTCCACAGGTAGACTTCAGCGCCGGCATGAGCTGGAAATAGCTGAGCTGCGGTCAGGCCTTGAAGAGCAGCATGCCGCTGAGCTCCAGAATGTCCGCCTGGAAACGGCAGAGCAAACAGCAGAGCAAACAGAGGCTGAGATGAAGCGACAGTACGATGAGCAGGTACAGCAGCTAATGTCGAGTCTCCAGGAGAAGCACGACACGTCCATTGCTAATGTGAAGTCACAAGTTGCAGCAGTGAAGCAGAGCGAGTTAGAGGAGCAGCTGAGCGAAGCTTTGGATGAGCTACGCACCGAACTTGAACAGAAGCATGCAGTTGATATTGAGGACGTGACGAGGACAGTTGCCTCGGAGAGTGATGCCCAGCTGGAGATTGTGAAGGCTGATTTTGCCGAGAGGCTTCAAGCGATGACTGCTGAGAACGAGCAGCTGTCGATGGAGCAGGAAACTCGGCTCCGTGGCCTGTTACAGCAGCAAGCCATTGAATGCGTGCAGCATGTGAAGACTGGTTCACCAAACGATGATGGAGAGTGGCACAATCTCACCGAGGAGCTATTGCTTTGGAAGAGTAACATGGCAACAGAGCACCAGCAATCATTGGAAGAACACGACGAGGAAGTTGTCAACACCATGAACAGACTGAATGCTGGCGAACCCCTGGAGGTTACCACCGGTGGTCATGCGTATGTGCAGCAACTGATTGAGTGGCACACAAAGATGACCACCGATCGTGCACAGCTTGCACGTCTTGCAGCACAGATTGGCCAATTCGAACAGCAGGTCACTGAGCTGGTGGAGCAGCAGAACCAGGAGCTGGAGAATGCCTTGGATCAGCAGCGGGGCACGCTGATCGCCGAGTACATGCAGAAGTTTGAGGAGATGACTCAGCAGCTAGAGGAGAGCCACCGGTCGCAGCTTGGCCATGAAATAGACGCGTGCAATCAGCAGTGGCAGGATAAACTCCAGCTTGCCGTCGATGAGCAGAACACAAAGGTTGCCGACGCACTGGGCAAGACGGCCACGGAGAGCCTTGCCACTCAGAAAGCAGACTACGAGCAGATTCTGAGCAGGCTCAATCAGACCGTGGCCGAGCAGCGCGATGAGTACGAGGGGAGGCTCGCGGCTGCAGCCGATGCACAGGCGCAGCTGGAACAAGCTGTCAGCCGCCTGCAGCACGAGCTCGCCACCTCTAGGACCCAGTGCAATGAACTGGCAGATACGCTGCAGGAGAAGACCCAGCAGTCTGATGCTGCTCTGAGCACATTGAGATCCGAGCACAAGCTTGCCGTCTCCCAACTGGTAGCCGATCTAGACTCACGCCATCAGCAGCACTTGGATAGCGTCCGCAAGCAGCTAGTCGAAGATAAGTCTGAAGCGATAGCAGCGACTGTACGGCAAACTGAAGAGGAAGTGTCTGTGCCCCTCAAACAGCAGTTAGCTGGTGCAGAGTCAGTAAGAGCAACACTTGAGCAGCAGCTCACATCTATGCAGCAGCAACTTCAAGAGGCGCAGGCCGTGCATCAAAAGTTCGTCACGAGCCACCTTGCCACAGCCATTGCCGAAGCGGAAAAGTGGCAAAACTCGTGCAAGACAGCTTTGATTGAGCGAGAGGATGCCAGGAACTCATGTACAGCATTGCAACAAAGCTGTGATGAGCAGTCGTCCCGTATCTCTGGCCTCGAGCAGCAGATTACCTCCCTCAAGGACGGTCTCAGGACATTCCAAGAAACGGATGATGACCGCGACAGTCGCCGCAACAACGAGATTGAGGAGGTGAGCAACTTGCTGCGTATGGTGGAGAGTGACAAGCGGCGCCTGGACAAGCAAGTGACAAGCCTAACTGCTGCTAACCAACAGCTCATGGCCATTCTCTCTACACTGGCTAAGTCAGTTGGAAAGTCCAACGATCTCCTGTCTTCTCACCGCCGTCGCTTACAGCGGTTTTCTGCTAGAGAGCCTCCTGAAGGTCAGCAGCAGACAACCCAGGCACAACAGACAACCCAGGCACACCAGCATCATCGAACCACGCAGCAATCTGCTGTGGTCAGCCGTCCGGTAAGCGGGGTGCAGGCCGTGGTGTCGCTGGGCGAGAGTTTTGCCGATGCCCAGCGTGTAGCCAGGGACTCTCTTGTCAGTGCTGCCCCGCTGATGTCATCAACATTGGTATCAGGTGGTGCAGGCAGTGGTGGTAGTGGTCCTGCTGTACCGTTTGATAGATACACGACTGTATCGTCATCGTCCAGTCATGCCACGCTGCGCAGTATCTCAACAACCGTGGACAGCGGTCTTGGCGGCGGTGTCACCTCCAGCACTAGCACCGGCTCTGTCAATGATCCTACGTATTACAGGCCTCTAGATGGTGCTAGCGCTACTACGGGTCCTGCCAGTCTAGTCAGTGTGGACAGTACTGCTGCGCGTCAGTCTCCACTCGCCGATGCTCGGTCACCGCACGCCGCAAGCAGCGTGGGCTCTGGATCTCACGACGACGAAGACGACAACGTAGAGGAGCTGCTATCGCGCACTCTGATGGCCGACCAGTCGGTATTGCCGCTTAGCTTCAGTGATCTGCCACCGTCACGGCTGAACTTCAGCTTTGAGCTTGCCGAGCCAGCATCATCTTCACAAATCGGCCCTGCTCTGGAGCAGGCTGTGCAGCAACTTTGGCTGCCAGCACAGGACTCGACGGCTCCATTGTTTGATGCGAGTGCCGATCTCAGCCAGGATTTCAACGAGAGTGTATTTGAAGGTCCGACGCTGGACGAGGGATCCGAAACGTTGCTGCAGCACATCGGCGATGAGCTACTGAAGTCTCTGCAACAAGTCCTGGCCGTGCATGCTGAACACTGGAGCATGCAGCGAGCAATCGAGCAGAAAGCCACTCAGCAGGATGACTACATCCGCCGGCTATCCACTCAACGCAGGGAACTGGAAGAGCGCCTCGAAGCCGCCGTCAGCTCAGCGATGTCATGTCGCGCGGAATGCGACCGCGCTGTGACAGACCTGCAAGAGCAGCACGCATTGACAGTGAAATCCATGGGCGAAGAGCTGGCTGCAGCTCGTGGCCAGCTTAAGAGTGTGGCAGCAGAGAAAGAAGCTCTGCGGCAGAGGCACACTGATCTGGTGCAGAGCCGGGACAGCTTAGAAGCACAGCACCAGATATCCTATGAAGCCAACGAACAGTTGTCGCAGGAGCGCGAGCAGCTGGGCAATGAGATTGCGTGTTTGCAGGAGCGACTGCAGTCAGTGGACAAGGAGAATGCAGAGCTGGCCAGCAAAGTAGCCAGCATGTCGCAAGATGTAGCCACGGCTGCATTGTGGAGGGAACGCCTGTTGTCCGTGTCGTCGGAGAATGATGAGCTGCGGCAGAAACTCGACGAGCACCTGCAGCGTTTGCAAGAACTGGAGGTGGTCGAGGTGAAGCTGCAAGAAATTGAAGGCGTTCATGCAGCTAGCCAGGAGCAGCAAGAGCAGTTACAGAGCCAGATGTTGGTCAGCAACCGTCAGGTTTCGTCACTCGCCGAGCAACTAGACTCTGTAGTGTCAGAGAAGAGTAGGGCACAGCAGGCCAACGCGGACTTACAGCGTGAACTGGATGACTTACAGCGTGAACTGGATGGCCTGAGCTCCCAACTGAGTGCTTATCAGCAGGCTGCTGCAGATGGCGTCTTGGCGGGTGTGCCCAGCAGGGTACAAGACGACTCGGTCAGCGACTCGCTGTCTAACATATCCGATCTCAGCAGCGGGGAAAGCACTCAGCAGGAGCTTGCCTCGTCGTCTATTGGCGGTGTGCATGCTGCGGCGGCTGCGCGGAGCCTGAGGGAATCGATCATGTTGTCTTTGCAGGACTGGGCCGGTGAGTACAGCACTGCGCTGAGTAACAACTTGAACCTGGTCACTGCAGTAGCGCAGGTGCGTGCCGTTGTGGCAGACAAGAGAGATCAGCTGATTGCGCACGGCAAGCAGCTAGAGTCCCAGCTTGCCTCACTGCGCCAGGAGCTGGAGACTCGCATCACAGCCGATGATCAGGAGAGAAATATCCTTACGGAGAGCATTGGCGTCTCCAACGACAGGATTTCTCAGCTTGAGCAGCAGCTGGCCAGGAAGCAAGGGGAGCTTGCCAAGTCTGAAGATCGCCTAGCGCAAACTGCAAACTCCAATGAGAGTGACATCCAGCTTCTGGAGGAAGACCTGCAGCACAAATACTCGTCTGAGGTTGAGACACTGCGCACACGTCTGCATCAGCAATATCAACAGCAGCTGAATACTACTCTGGAGACTGTCCAAACAGAGCATCAAACTCAGCTGGAGTCTTTGAAGGATGGCCACCTCGATATCATCAACCAACTAGTCGCGCAGCATGCCCTGGAGATCGAGAAGGTTGCCCGAGCCACTACGTCTGCCAGTGCAGAGCCGAGCGACTCCGACAGCACCTTACCCGACGACATTCATGATTTGCTGACCAGAGCTGTTGCAGAGGAATCGTTCACGGACTCTCGGCCAGTCGCAGCGCCGGCTGTATCTATTCAAGGAGTCGCCAACCAACTGCGCGCTAGTGCACAAGCTGTTCTTTCACTGAGCGAGGGCTTGCAGCATCTCCAGTGCGAGGCGCCATCTGTCTCTGAGCAACTGCGTAGAGAACGTGACTCGCTGCAGACGACCGTGAATACCCTACAGCAGCTGCTGGCACGATCCAGCAGCAATGGTGGGGATAGTGGGGACGGTGACTCGTTGCGTAACGACATCATTTCCACGCTGCAGCAGCTGTTTGCTCAGCAGCGCGATCTTCTCTCGTCGCACACCAGCAGGACGCCATCTGATGCCTGGCTCAAGCAGCAGAGCATGTGGGAGAGCGAGCGACTGCTGCTTCATGCCGAAATCAAGCAGTTGCAAGCATCGCTGGACACGTTGAGGCAGGAATCACAGCAGCACGCAGCTGAGCTGCAGGCCAAGCTAGCCAGCGCTCAACAGCATCACCACAGTATGGATCTGAGCAGCATTGAACAGCTTCAGGCACAACTAGCCAGTGCTCTGCAGCAGGCTGCTCTTTCTCAGTCCAGGCTGGCAGATGAAAAACAGGCCAGCGAGGATTCACAGGCCCGCGTGCAGTCGCAGCAGTCTGAGCTTCTCGCGTCTCAGGCACGGTGTCGAGATCTTGACGAGCAACTTGCAGTCTTGACACGTTCCAACGCTCAGGCTGCACTACAGTTGCGCACCGAACAGCAGCGCGTTGCTGACCTCCACCGTACCCTGGACACGGTGCGGGAAGAGGCTAACCGGACGGCTAGCTCTCATGGTGCCGGTGAGGCCGCTCTGAAAGCCGCTCTTCAGGAACAGGCTGTGCACATCGAGGACCTACGAGCAAAGTACAACGAACGCGAGTCCACCCTGGAAGGCCACGTGGCACGTCTTCAAGATGAAGTCTCTCTGTTCAGTCAGAAAATTGAGTTGGCAGTATCGGCAGAGCGTGAGCGTGGTGAGCAACTCTTGGCGCAGGAAGCAGCTGGAGCGACGGAACTGCGCCGCCTGCTGCAAGAAGAACGCAGGCGTTCGTCGGTTACTACGCAACGGCAGCATGGTGCAGAGCAGGAAGAGCTGCGGCGTTTGTCCGAGCAGCTGCAGTCTTCGGAGCAGCGGCAGCGTGACCTGCAGGCACAGCTCCGCAGCGAGCAGTCCACAGCACTGCATGCCAATGAAACCATACTGCAGCTGAAGGAACAATGCTCTCGTCTTGGTACTCAGGCATCGGAGCAGCAGCGCCTGATTGATCAAATTCACGCTGACTTGAGCGAGAGAGCTGCCAAATGCCAGTCACTGGAGAAACGCTTACGTGATGCTGAGCGGCGGCAGGGAGACACCGCGGGACATGAACAGGCTCAGCAGCAGTTACAGTCAGCCTTGCAGGCAGTACAGGCTCAAGTCAAGCAGCTCACTGCCCACCTGGATATTGAGCAGAGGACGGTCGCAGAGCTGCGTACCAACGAGCAGCTGCATTCGGCATCCTATGCGTCGCTGCAGCACGACAAGGAACGACTGGAGACGCAGCTTGCCAGCTTGCGGCGCCAGCTCAAGACCGCTAGCGATGCTCTCGCAGCACGTACCGCAAGCCAGCCACTGCCGCCGGCAACTGAGACGAGCGAGTGCTTCCAGTGTAGGGTCACTGTGCCTCGTCTGGAACGCCAGCACACCGACATGTCACAGCTAGCTGAACGTCTGAGTCAGGAGCGAGGTCGTCTTCAGGACGAGCTCAACCAGGTACAGGAGAAGGAAAGGCGCTTGCGTCGCGACTACCAGCAGCTGCGCGCCACCACACAGGTCGGCGATCAGCGCAGCTCTGCCGAGCAGGCCGTGTGGCAGAAAGAGCGGACATCTCTCTTACGACAGCTTGCCGACCTCAAGTCAGTGTCGCGCTCAGCGGATGTTGATCTTTCCAGGAACTACGCCCGTGCAGAGCGATTCCGGCGAGAGTTGTCTTTCCAGAAGCAGTACCTTCTGACGTTGTTGGGCGGTTTTGCTGACTGTGAGGATGTCGTTCTTCAACAGGTGGGTGTTGCTCTGCCTAGAGTACGACCGCGCCGTCACAAGTCTGCTGTGCCGAAGAAGGCGAAGAAGGTCAGTCGGTTTGTTGTGGTGGCGCGTTGTGCAGTTGCTGTGTTTCGAATGAAGCACTTTGTCCGCTCACCTCCGGTGCCACGACCTCTGCCGGCACAGGTAATTCGCAGCACCGACCGTCTTCTCGCCAGAGAAGTGAATGCTGAGGCGACGACATCTTCGTTAGCAAAGCCACGTCATAATCACCGGCACACATCATCACGGCATCGCTCCAGTGCAAAGTCTGCATCCTCGGCGAAGGTGCCCGAGTCCACTGTGCCTCCGTTCATTCCGGATGCCGCGAGTGAAGTTGAATCTAGTCAGAGTGATGCCGCCTTTAGAGCGCACGTGCAGCGCCTAAATCGCCTGCAGGACAGGCTGAATTCGGTGTCCGTGCCGACAGCGGGACCCTCTCATCGTACGTGATGACTTTGCTGCTTCGATGTGTGTGTATGTGTGTGTGTGTGCGTGCGCGCGCGCGCATGTGTGTGTGTGTGTGCGTGCGCGTGTGGGTGTGTGTGTATGTGTGCGTGTGTGTGTCTGTCTGTGTGTGTCTGTATCTGAGTAGCTGCTGGACAGTGTTCACACCGACTGCATAGTGTGTATGCACTGTGTAGGGTTGCTGGTGGCATGGCATGTCCAGACTACAGTGATCCAGGGTACGTGCTACCAATTCCACAGTCTTTAGGATACTCACGTCCTAACTTCCATTGAATTAGAGAAACTGACACTGCTTACACCGCTGGAAGGTGCGAGCGTTTTCTTTCCGTTTTCTTTCTGTAGCTGCGTAGGACGATGTATGTTTTGGTCTTTCTGTCTCTTTGCAACGCCTGCTCTTTGTTGGCCAGCATACTTCTCGCTGTCCTCCCCAAATAATGTCCAATGGCATGCACATGCGGTGACTGCTTTGTCTGTTTGTGCTGTGCTGGTCAAATAGGAATTTGCTGAATCTTTTCTTTTTTAAACAAAACCTGCTCTTTGGACTTTGGTTGAGATGATTATAGGAATACACTATGTGCGTTGATGTCGTCTTGAGTGCCAATTTGAGAAATTTTACTTGCCACTAGCTCTCCCCGCTATTCCCCCCCACCACCACCACCACCACCACCACCACCACCACACCGCCACACCACCACACATACCGGTATGCATCAATAATTACCTACATATTTCAGGTACTTTCCAGCTATTTTGGTTGTCAGCTCATGAGATATTATATTCCTTCAGCCGCCAGCGCTGGTCTATCCATATAAAGTTTCTCATGCAAAAAGGGGAAAAAAGTGTTCTCAGATAAAGGAGAACGCCATGTACTACATCTCATGTCATACTGTTATGTCCACCCATGATGATCTGATATTCACCGTGTTTTGTTCTCGTCCGTGTTCTAGACCACATACAACACATGCCTGCTTGGTTTTTTATTTTTATTTTTTAATAGTACTTGTGTTAGTTAGACTGTGTGAATCTGCACATCTTATTCACCGCCAGATCTCTCTGCTTACCCGGTATGTGTCTTCACTACTCGGATATCTATTTTCAGTCGCTAACGAGTTTCGAACAGAGCGGCTTCCGACAGTGCACTGTGAGCTGGCAGGCTTGTGCTAGTGCTGTGTGTGTGTTGCCATGGGGTTGGCAGGATTTGTTCCACTTTGTTGGTGTTTGTGTAGCTTGCTCATAGTATATTCGGGTACATGTACGAGGTGATGATAGCGTTGCTACAGCAGAAATCATGGCAACTCGACCCTCTCCCACCACACACACACCTTGGACAAGCTGCCATATTCTGGCTATGTTGGGGGGGGGGGGGTTGACCAAGTTCGGAACAGTAGGGGCGATGACGGGCAGACAGACAGACACACACACGCGCACACACACACACCTTGGACCTTGGATACACTGTCATATTCAGGCCAAGCGGACCACATGGGGGTTGAGCAGGTTCGGAACATTAGGACTCAAATAATAGGAGCGATGACGGGCAGACACACACACACATGTGCACGTGTAGACACTGTTCACACAAGATTATGCAGACAGAATGGAAACAAGTTTATCCAATGCAACTCATCAGCTTCAATATCAGCAGACTGTCCCTCCAGGAAATCGCGATTCCACGGATGCAACAAATTTCGCGATTTTGGCCCAAACCCGCGATTTTCAGCAAAATCCGCGATTTCCCGCGTTTTTTGTTAATTTCTGCACTATCTCACATTTTTATGCACTTTTCACGCAGTTCTTTCCATGATCCTGTAGGTTATTTGCACAGTACGACTCCCGAGTAGATATACGATGCAACAAATTTCGTGATTTGGCCCAAATCCGCAATTTTCTGCAAATAATTCCGCGAATTCCTGGCAAGTTCTGCATCATTCCGCCCTTTTCGTCGCATTTTTTGTTACTTTCTGCCGCAATTTCTTGCGCAAGTTTTCGAGAGTTTTTTCCGCAAATTCCCGCAGGGACAGAGCAGACAATAAAAAGAACTGGGAACTGCCTCCGTTGATCAATTCTCACGCACACAAGTCACAGAAGAAAAAAAACAATAATATATTGGTACACCGGACGTGTTCCTAAAATTTCCAAAAAATAGCCTGGAAGAAAGCACCCTAGAAAATACAGAAAGTTTCTAATTTTGATTCGTGTTGGTACCTGCCAACACGAAAAGTCTAAAGGAAAAGATTGAAGAATTCACTCAAAGTTTTGAGAAGAGATTAGGTCTAAATCTGTAATAAAAGCGGCAACTTTTGATTGTGTCTCGATCAGGGTGTATTTAATGGGCCAGAAAAGTACATTAGAAGCTGGCAATGACCTACAATAAATGAACTTCATCCGAGGATCCTTTAGTCATAGTACGGCGGTACGGAGAACAGCACAACTCAGATCAAGTGGCATTCCAATTACAATTACCTGATCTAACGTGACATGTACTGAATGCGACCACGCATTTGCGCTGGTATTTCAACACACCTAATTCTGGACGGTTGAGCAGCACCAGCCAAGTGTGGGATACGACATTCTTTTGCAGCTGCTTATTTGCGCGGCTTCCACCCTAGGGGTCGAGTGAGCGGTGGAATAACGTCAAACGGTTCTGAGTCTAAATAGCAGGGCACGAAAACACTGTCGACGGCCGTTTCAATCTCGGCCATTTCCAGATCCGATCGCAGCGCCTGCAGACTGCGGATAGCATGTCGCCGGGCGCAGTCAACACCTCCCTTGTGTAGTCGCCATGGCATCATGCCGGCAGCCGTCTGCATGAACTTGGACACTGTCAGGCTGCACTCGCCACTCAGGGCAGCCGCACGCACCTCGCTGCATGCCCAGTGTGGCAGATACGACCAGTTGACGTGCGCTCGGCAGTGGTCGTACGCATGTACCAGCTCATGAGCCAGTACTCGTTCCACCTGCTGTCCGTTGCGCACTGCATTCTCACACACCACGGCCTCAGCACGCTCAGCATCAAATCCGCCATTCAGTCCTGGCTGATCGCATCGCTCACACAGCAAGTTCACACCAATGCGCATTGGACAGCCACGGCTCTCCAAGGATTCTAGCAGCTTGCGAATACGTGAGTTTGTCTTCATCGCAGACTCTGCCCAGGCAACACAGTCTGCGTGCTCCCTTTCAGGACTACGATTTATCTGGGGTCCATCCATAGCTGACTTCCAACTTATACCGTATTAGTTCGCTTTCCATAAGTCATTGCAATTCACCCAGCAGCACACAAAACTATGATGAAAAACAAGGTGGAATTTGGAACACCTTGCACCATCTCAGATCAGATCAGAGCTTCCGAAAACTTCCTCCTGTACACTTCACAACCACAGTGGCCAAAATCAGGAGGCCCTGAAAATCAATCAGCCATTCAAAATAATGACAGTGATTTGAAAATGCTCTTCGTTCTAGAATTCTGTTCATCATGTAACCAATTCATGTTTGCATTTTCTTGTCCTTTCAACAAAATTTCATTTCAAAAATTTCCGGGCACGTGCCAGAATCAGCCGAGGCACGTGCACCGGACCCGCGTGTACAGTGCATGCATGGTCGAGTTTCAAATCAAACACACAAGAAATAAAAGCCCAGAAGTCACAAAAGAAGTACAGTGTGGCCATTGACTTGTCTTTCTCTTGTTTGAAGGCTTCGAAAACTGTCCAAATGCCACTCGACTCCGTCTCCTGTCATTTGAATGTGACGAAACCGTGTCCAGTGTCTTGCTGTCTACTTTCGCAATGTGGAACAACACAGTCGCTTTGTTGTGGTGGATTTTCACTCCAAAGCCCAAAGGCAAAACATTTCTCAACCCAGAGAAAAAATCCCAGCCCACAGCCTTTGGACATGCAAGTTTGTTGCTACTTCCTGAATTGGCCCAAGTAGCTACAGGAGGCAACCACGTATAGTTGGCATCCACCATTACGAAACGGAGATGGACTGCCCTTTTCGCTGTGGAGAGAACTTCGCAGATAAAGCCGAGGTAGGTGCAAAGGTTATTCAGTATCATTATGTTCCGGCAGCTCTGCATTTCATTGCATTGTGCCTACAATGTAGGTTATGCAGAACACTGTACTCTATGTAGTACGTGCTCACTGCATGCAGACAGTGCAAGTAGCATCACGTAGATCTACGCACACTCAGTTTACAACAAAAAGCGTGTCACCAGGTCACAGCCAGCCTGAAACTCAAGGGAGCTAGGAGGTGAGGGGGGGGGGGGGGGGTACATGCGTCACGGTTGTACAGGTGTGGACGACATCCTTACATGATGAGTCAGTCATGAATCATTTAGATCTGTATCCAGTAGTTACATAACTAGCCACATTGAGGTCACGGCTGTCTTGTTGGACCAGCACCTGTAGATTTGGACTTTCTGATTGACTGTGTGTTCAACACATCTGCTTGTGTGTGGGAGAACGGTGACTGGTGGATTGGTGGTGGCAAGTCACACAGTAGTATAGTGGCGCATTCCTCCTTGAAAGTGAGCGTATTGCCAGGCTCTGTTGGTTCGGTTATGGTACAGTCCTGTATGGATGCCATCAAGGCTTACACATTACCGTGAGTTGAGTCTGCTCGCTTGTTCATGCGTACTGCTGAATACAAAGGGCAAGTAACTTTAGTTTTGGTGTCTTTGACGGAGTGTATTGTTTGAATTTGTTTCAGAACATGACCAAGTCGACAACAGGAAAAAAAACTCTCACGACGTTTCCGCCAATCTCCTCTACCACTCTTCTCCACTCTGCACAGTCTGCGCACGCACAGTATCAAAACCCGGCCATGAAAAAGCCCACGCGAAAGCAAAGAGGATGTGACATTCAACACTAAAACATTTAATCAAGAAATTCCACCGCCACCACATGCGCTCTCTGGCTGACCTCATCCCACCAGCAACATAGGACCGGCGGAAGCAGTTTTTGATTGATCTGGCCATACCTTGCCTACCTTGCCTACCTAGCATAATATTATACTTTGTATATGATATGGAGGGTAGGCACATGACCTCCTCAGCAGTAAACACACGCTGATGGCCAAAAAGTTAGTCCGGCCATGGCCTGACCACCCGGACCGGTTCCGTCGGGCCTGCAACATGACTCCCAAGTTGTACACAATACACACTTAGTATCACACTACTACGCTACCGTAAAATTCCGTAAATAAGCCCACCCTAAATAACGCCCATGTCCGATAATAAGCCCAGTTTTAGGCGGTGTACACTTCAAGTCCGTTTTAGCGCCCATGCCCGAAATAAGCCCAGGGCGTAAAGTGGACTCAAAATGACCAGCACGCGAGCGTACCTGTTGTGCCTTGTACTTACCATAGCAAGTGGTTTACCTATCAAATCTGTAATTTATCGCTACACTCTTGGTTACGACCAAATTTCCAGCTGTGGTTTGTACTTGTACCGCGCTCAGTGTAAATGGTGGTTCACTGAAACTAGTGGGTTGCTCATAGATTGATCTTCTGCAGATTGCGTCCGAAATAACGCCCATGCCCTAAAATAAGCCCATGCCCTAATATACGCCCTGTTTTTGACGCTCTGCAAAGTATACGCCCAGGGCTTATTAACGGAATTTTACGGTATTTCACATTGCTCCTTCGTTGAATTTTGGCTGCATGGCTGCTCCCACGATGGCAACTGGCAGCTGCTAAACTTCAGTGAAGGTTTGGTTGTGAAGCTATTCTTGAGTGTTAAAGTGTTTGAGTGTTGAGTGTTTAGTGCATCTTTTATTCATTCAATTTCTCTATAGATTGCGGCACACACTGGCGATAATGGAAGTTGCCCCCTGGCTCCTGTGCAATGCGTATTCAAGGGCATCGGCAATGGTGGCTGTCCTGCCAAGGTACGCACTGTTTTCTTCTTCTACAGTAACTTTTTAAGCACCTTCGCTCATATGATAGAAGAGACCAATATCTTCGTTTTTTACTGCTCGTACATAGACCCTCTAGTTAAAAGAAACCAAAACGCCGTGTCAAATACCGGTAGCAGGCATTATTATGTCCGCTGCTGACTCATAGAGTCATAAAGCTCGAACTAATTGGGTATATCTTAAGCTTCTATATCGGTCCTGGCAAACTCATTCTCTTCGATTTCCTCGCGCCATCAAGGCTGAGGTCCGCGAGTGTTTCATATACCAGTTGGAAGAGCCTTAGTCATCTCAAGCTGGAGTTCAGATTGTACATCAGGGTCATTAACTAACTTAGTGGTGATCCTTGGCTCCATAAAAGTACTTTTCTTGTAGTATTGGCTTGAAACAAAAGTTACCTACTAAATGTACTACTACTAGTGTATCCAACCTATCACATTACTTAGCACTCAACCAAGCCAGGCCTGCCCGTTGTCGACTTTATATTTGTTTTGCTGTCAGATGATAGCCTAGTGCATACACTTTTTTTAAAGTTTCAGCAAAACAGCTAGTTACCTTCTCCTGTATTTCCGTGCACTGCTCTGCACTCATGAGTCATGTGCCTAGAGTACTCTTCCGAGCTGCCCTGGCTGGCCCTGATTGTATTCGGGTTTTTTTGTACAATAAGACGTTAGTGTTGTGTAACTGTAAAGCTGTGCGTCATGTGCAGGTACAGCCTGTTTCCTGCGAATGCCAAACATGCTGCCCATGGTGGTTCCTCTATGCATGCTGCCCATGGTGGTTCCTCTATGCATGTTGCCCATGGTGATTCCTCTATGCATGTTGCCCGTGGTGGTCCGGACCTTTCCTCTATGCATGTTGCCCATAGTAGTTCCTTTATGCATGTTGCCCGTGGTGGTTCGGACCGTTCCCCTATGCATGTTGCCCATGGTGGCTCCCCTATGCATGTTGCCCATGGTGGTGCCTCTGTGCACACTCACACCAGTTGCATAAATGCCAGCTCATTCGACGCCATGGTTTTGTCTGCATGCGACTGAAGACGGCAGCTTGCTTGCTCAAGTTCCTCTTTGTGAGCCATAGACTCCTTGCCTGCATGTGTGCATGCCTGCATCCCTAGACTGTCTCCATGGCTACCGTGTCTAGCGTCCTTGCCCTACCTAAATACGCCATCCTCTGTCTAATGTGCCGCTGTTGTTTGCAGCCACAGCGGCGGTTTCTGGAGGCGCATCTCACGAGATCGTCCGCCACTCACCAGCGTCTTCTTCTGGACGGCTTTCATCAGCTGCGGCAAGGCCAGACGCAGCTTCAAGCACAAGTGGAACGGCTAGCTGCTGCGCATGCTAGTGGTGGTGGGGGTGCTGTGAAAGTGTCTAGTCGGCCAAGTTCAGCCAGAAGGAGTGCACCGCCCGATGCGATACAAGAGCTGAGTGATGGCTTGGCCACTGTCCAGTCCAACATCACTGCACTAAGCTCTCAACTCGGCGATGTCTCAGGCCATTGCACCAGGCTGCACGGCGAGGTGTCTACAAACCGACACAATCTACACAAGCTACAGATGACCCCGGTGCCTGTCGCCGGTTCTGCTGCCACCTCTGCCGCGGACTGCAGTCGATGTGACACGTTAGCAGTGGAACTGCAGCAGCTGAGAGGCATAGTGCTGGATATGGCGGGCAGTGCAAAGCCGTGCAGCAAGTGGTGTGTGCAGGTTGATGTGCGCATGCACGGCGACGGACGACTGGAGCTGGTGGGTAATCCGTCGAGTCCCTGCCACTGGTCTGGCCCCACGGGATGCGGGCATCAGGTCTACACCAGCTGCGCGCTTAAAACGCTGGCTCAGCTGATCGGTCACCGAGCTGCGCCAAACCAAGTCGGACTGGCTGAGCTGGCCATCAATGTGATTGCCTCGAGCAGCGACTGGCCGGAGAATGCCCAGCAGCTGTGCGTGGCCTACCCGAACACTCTGCTGTCCATGACACAGTCAGCTGTCATGACTCTTCCACCTGCTAGCACTGTGGTTAGTTCTGTGAGCAATGCTGATGCTGCTGATGACCGGGCCGAGTCCATGCAATCTCCAAAGAGGTACACGCTGCAGACCGTCGGCATTCCCATCCTGCTGCCACCTGAAGCGGAGCTGGGCGCCACCCTGGACTGGTCTTATGAAGTGCAGCTGTGTGCAGTCTGGGCACACAAGACCGCTTGACAATTGATCTCGATGCATGATATCCGTGTGTGCATGCTCTCTTGAAGCTCGCCAAGAATCAGGGATCGGTCTAGCTTGGGGGAGGTGATAACACATTGTGTACACCACCGGTTACTGTAATATTCCTATCACAAGACCATACAGTACCTCTTGGCGTCATCACATTTCTGCTGCCAAGTGTCTTGCGCTGTTGAAGATGTTGATATGATTCCTGTTGTACATGTACATGTATGTACTCCAGTTTGAGCTGGTTCTCGCGTGGCAGTGCTTCCCTGATAACCGGGCAGGCCTAGTACAGTTGTAGGCTGGTCTAAGATCAAGATACTGTACAGGCAGACAATTTCGTCGGTCAATAATTTCGTCCAACTCCTAAGAAAGGGATTTCGTCCGGTTGAAAATTTAGTCCATTGACTATAACAGTGTATTGCAACGCTGGACAAATCGACATTCGCCCGTCATTTAATTTAGTCCCAAAGCTCCGTGGACGAAAAAGACGAAATTAAATTCCAGACGAATATTTCTGCTTGTACAGTAGTGAAACAAGAGGTACCCGGTTAAAGTCCTGTCTGGGAGCGGTTTTTCCATCCATGCTGCTACCCGCAGTCAACCGAAAGCTTGCGACCAGGCACGCAGGGGGTGCATGACATGACTAATAGTGCTAGCCGTACATGTACCAGTCAATGAGTTGTACTGTAAAAGCCATTATTCTAACGAGGCGCATATATAACGATTTCCCAAAATTGACTAGTTTACGTGTACCAAAGGTAACGATTCTCACTCATTCTCAACGCTCAATAGGACAGTATATGTAGCGATTTCTGTATAACGGTTTCTATTTTAACGACAGATTTCTCCTCGTTAACTTGTTAGAGTTAGCACTTTGTTATATATATGGCTTTTACAGTACCTAAACTGGTTTTGATACGACTCTCTTGTGCCACCAGCTGTGAGTTCTTGCAAGTATCATAGCAAGTATGTGCAAGCACACTCGTTCACCGTTTGTCGAGGCTGCAATACAGCCTCCAGTGGGTTGCATCCTGAACCCCGAGATTGTGTTGTGTGCTGCTGATCATCACCTCAAAGCTTACACAACTTACAAAACAAATGTCGTGATGTCTATTAGTATTAGAGGTTTGTCACAGTAGAATATTACAGCAATGTCCTGGCATGCTTCCTGCACTTTGATGTCTCGCTATGCACAGCAATATGCTCTATATGATGCCGATGGCAGTTCATGCAGGACTTTCAGACCTCACACATCCACGATGGGCCTGTCGATGTCTTGTAGTTGCAGCAAAATAAAGTTTCAGAGTTCACTTTACAATGATACAATCATTTCATTGGCCAGCATGCATGCAGCACAGGATGCCTGTGTGAGTATGTGTGATGATTGTGAAAGCATGAAACTCCAGAGTAGCGACTAACTAGCCTTGATGGCCCCTTGTTGTTCTGAGTGTATGTGATAAATAAATGCAAGCAGCAATGCATGCAGTGAATACAGCAATGTACACGTATGTGTGTGATAAATAAATGTCAGCCACCCATGTGTGCACTTGTGGTGCTAGAGCACCAGTGAGGTACAAGAAGACCGAGTACGTGCAATACAGAACACGCTATGGCCTATTGTTATTATCATAGCGTACTTTAGTCACACTCACAGTAATATATGAGCCGTCAGATGTGAATAGGGGGCCAATCGTCATTTTTTGTCGAAATTTAAAAGTTATGCCATCGGTGTAATCGATAAAATTTGAATCAAGATTGCACTCTTCTTGAAGCGGCGGTAATTCCACGGCTAGCGATGCACAGTATCTTGTCAATTTGCTCATTCACTCATACTTTGTTGAGGGATTTTGCACACATTCATTCAAAGAGACATGATGTTGACCGAGATAAGCAGGATTTGAAAGTCCTTGGGCAGGTGTTGCAGCTGTTCAGCAAAGTCATGATCAAGCTATGCAGCTGCGCTTCAGTTCTTCGGAGTTAGTGGACTGCGGAGTTGGTTGATGAGCTCGAGTTCCGAGTCTGATTTCTTGTTCAAGTATTGGGGTAGTTCAATGACACAACCACGGTCTTCGTAGCGCTCACAGTAGTCCAGGATGTGGCGAATACACTCCCTCTCGTTTGCCTCCTCAGCCGCTTCGTCATCTTCCTCCTCTTCTCCGTCTCCCTCTTCTTCCACATCTGGCTTCGTCATGTTGAGGAAGTCCACCAATTCATCCGAGATCTGTCCGCCATGACATGCCGCCGTGCGACATGGGTTGTTTGGGTTTTTCATGTCAAAGTAGCACAGTGGTCGCTGCATGCCACAGGGCAGAACATATCGAAGCAGACAACACATACCGTTTTATCTCCATTATAAGTCCCGGGCTTATATATTTTTTTCAACCAGTCCGGACCCCGGGCTTATATTAGAGACTAGGTTTCTACTAGAGACTGGGCTTATAATTTTTCAACCACCTGTTCTTCCTCTAAATGTATTCCTCTTGCACAGGTGCCATATCCCGTCCTTTCCCATTCTTCTGCCCACACATGTACCTTGTAGTTTTGACCTTTCTTCTTACTTCTCTCCACTCTACGTATCGGGAGTGGATACTTTGGAGTGGATACATGGAGTCTACTGTTGACTGAAGAACAGTTCGCAGGGTCCACATGTAGCCTTGTAGGACATCTAGTCTATGTACACTTGTGAAACTCGAGGATAGGCTTGTACAATACTTCTTTGAACCGCTGTTCGCATTCGCTGTTTGAACCACAGTGCAACAGTGCTGCACAGCACCGGTGGCACCGTGCAGTGCAGATTCACACCCATCTTGCACTAGCAAAACCGGAGTCGAAATCGAAGTCGGAAAGTCACAGTCTTTTTGTTTCGAAAGCTTTCAGTTTGTTTCCATTTTCTTTTTATTCTTCACCACCAATTTCCAACTTCTGTCAGTGTGGCAGGTACATGTGTGAAGCGCTTTCACGAAACGAAAATTGGAGATTTGTTTTGAGCGACTTCTTCCAAGCGTCATGATAGCAGGTTGTTCAGACAACTCTTCGAGCGCTGACGCTGTGTCGGTGCCCGATTCTGTCGACTCTGGCGGCGAATTCGCTTCAGGGCAGCCCGAAATTGTGGACTCTCCGAGAATCTCCGACTCTCAATATCAGTCTGGAGCGTTGGGGGAGTTGTCGTCACCCGAGGATGGTCCCGGTTGTCTTGTAGAAGGTCATTCTCCGGAACCTGCAGCGCGACATGAAGCCCGTACTCTTCTTCAGCAACTGGTTGACGATGGCGGCATTTTGTGAACGTTTGATGATCCGGAAACAGGGAGACATGCAAGGACTGGCTGGTGCGCAGGGCTCGTGGCTGAAGTTGCCAGTTTCCGCTAAGTTCAAGGGAAATTTCAGCTACTGCAGCACCACTTCCGACCACCTAGGAGGTTTACTAGTTCATGCACACGGTATGGCTTATTGGCGATGAAAGTACGTGGCCATACGCCAGTACGTAAGGCTCAGTTGCTACTGGCTGGAAACCTACGCCTGGCTGACCGTTTCCAAGCGTGTGAGTGATGGGTTTTGTTTCACATGCACATAGTTTGGAGGGGAGGGCAACAAGTTTGGCCATCAGCTAGGTCAGCTGTTTTCTAGTCGCCAGCAACTAAACCATGGAGCATCATTCTCCCAAATATTGTGTGAACACCAGTCTGAACCAGTATCATGTATTTGTTGCAAATGCTGCATACAACACAAAACCTGTAGTTTACTCAATCTGCGGGCGGAACTGTTTCGTTCATTGTGGACTCGTAAGCGTAGCACAGATGCTGTATTTATATATATAAATTGAAACAGTGTACTGATTTTGCTATCAATTACACTCTTCTGTATTGTATATTGCAACTACTAGATATTTCGTCTAGCCTCTCGTGGAATAACATGTGTTATCTGTATCAAGGACCTTAAATACATCTAGACTTGGTTGGCCATTGGCCAAAGATATCCAGTATCCATACAAATATTGCCCGAGCTACACCACTGGGCACACGTGCATGTGCGCACACCCAAACACACACGCGTGCACACACACACACACACACTCACTCATACACACACATACACACACACACACACACACACACACACACACACACACACACAGATGCACTGTGGTAGGCTGGAAGTACACACCACTTAAAATGTACATGCACTCACATGCTCCATGTCAACATCTGGGTTTTCCGTCTTTAAGCGGCCCTTGCCAGTCAGCTCCTCGCGCCATTGAACCCTGTCTGTTTCGAACGGGAACTCACTCATTAGCTTGACCTGTGGCCACCAGGCAAAGTGTAAAGTGAGAAAGTGCAAAGCATAAAGATTCTGGTGAAAAAGGAGAAGGACAACATGTTACGAGTTATGACTAGCTGTCCACCAACGTAACCAGATCTTTTTCACCATAATTTAATTGGCTCACCATCCGAGTTGAACTTTGCACATAAAGATTCTCAGAACAATTATTGTAAGAGCATCCAGGATAGATTTGCTGCGGAACGCCAGTCAAGTGTCTAGTCAAGTTGGCGGGGAAAGTGCTAGCTCACACATTGCGAGCAACCAACTTTCTCACCATCATCGCTGATGTTACTACCACTCACTCGTAATTCTCGATAACTCTCGGTACAATGGTTTCACCCCGACATACGCGTATAGTGCCGGTGATCAATATCATGATATGCAAACATGTACATGTACATGGGCACACACTACCTACTTGGTTTTCACACACTGGTCTTGTGTCGGCGTCTGGCCGCATGTCATCAATCCAGGCAATGTACTCCTCCAGCCAGCGAGCCAGTGACGTGATGCGCGGGTCTGCCTGCCTCTCCGCTTCGGTTCTCTCACGCGATGTTGAAGCTGAGCAGCACCCGTAGCAGAAGACAGACATGTACACGTAAAAGAAAAAAAGTGGTTGGAATTCCATGCGCAAGCTGAAGTCGTGCAACTGTTTGTCCATCAGTGTGTGTTCACTGCTGAGGAGGTCATGGATACCCGCCATATCATACACAAACTATACCAAAGACTATGCTAGGGCCAGACCAATCAAAATCTGCTTCCGCCGGTACAGCATCTATGATCGCTCTGGAATATCCTGTTGTTCGAACAACAGGACATTCCTGTAACTTGGCTGGGTTCCATTGTCATTGGTGCAAGTCCTCACCAAGCTCCTTTGGTCTTGCTCCGTTCCTTATACTTGCCATTTTGTCTCGGTTCTTGCACCCTTGTACTTAGTTGTAACACCACAGCTATCCTGTGTGTGTGTGTGTGTGGTGTGTGTGTGTGTGTGTGTGTGTGTGTGTGTGTGTGTGTGTGTGTGTGTGTGTGTGTGTGTGCTAGTTTCGTCAGCTCTTTCTTCTTCACTAATGCTGCTATATTTCACCTTGTCACTATTCTGCTTGGCATCCTTGCAACTACTTGCAGCCGTTGCCTCTATTCTGTACAGCTGTCGGCGAAACGTTGTTGCAATATCACCTTTTTTGTT